TTTGCTATAAGAATGTATTGTTGGTAATTTTACTATGTATTTTTATGTTTTCCTAGTGTTTTGATTTTGATTTGGGAGTTCACTATTTACCTATAGCTGGGACTCTAACAGGTGCTACCTCCACAGATCAGAGTAGAACTGGGAACCAGAGCAATGAAGAGATGGTTCTATGCTTTTCAAAACCACCAAACTCCAAATCTAATATAGCCTTGCTGCTATATGCAGTTTATCATCATAGCTGGCTATGCTACAATTGTGAAGCATACAGTGAAAACTGTGCAGTAGTAATAGTCTGTATGCATTATACATATATATATATATATATACATGAATTATTCACACAAAACTATTGATCCTTGTTTATATAAATTTCTGCCGTATTAGTTGTTATTTTTACTACAAGCTTTCGTCTGTTCCTACAGACATCTTCAGGTATATAATAGATGTTGTTCTTGTTTTTTTCTCTTAGTAATAAGAGGACATCGAAAATATGTGTATTGTATCCGAAATGCTATTGAAAATGAGATATTGGTTTTTGAATATACCTGAAGATCAATTCATTCATAACGGATCTGGAGGTTTTTGTGTACTATTTGAATTGTTTGCGAGATGGATGTCTCGCCATTTAAATCATTAACCTTTGCATTAGTTTTGTGTGAATAATTCATGTATTTGTAAATTGATTGCACGTTTATTGTAATATATATATATATATGACGTCATGAGATGCGGTACGATTTTCGCTTCTAGCATCTTATATGCGCGTGTTTATCGTTGCTTAGAGATTATCTATGTAAACAATGACAGACTATCATCACTGTCGTGTCCGTATATTGTTTAAAATGTTTGTAATTTATATCTTTGATAATGGCTTAAGTAAGCCGAAAGCTTAGATTATATTTAAAAAATATGGATCAATATTGTGAATTTCTTTCTTCGTTTAATGATAATGTTATCAAACTTATCAGATGTTACGAACAAAATTTACATAAAATAAATAGACAACACTTGTCCATATTATTTAATGAAACGTGTATATATATATATATATATATATATATATATATATACCTAAGTTTGAAGGGCAAATTAAAGTTTTGTGGTCCTACAAACTCATCAAGCACAAACTATTACAGTTGATTATTTTGAAAAAAGTCAGCTGTAATAGTTCAAGCCTGATGAGTTGGTAGAAAGTTTAAGCTGCCCTTCAAATGTAGTTATATGTATATTTATCAATATATACGACCTTAGCTCTGTCTAACCTCATTGAGCACTGTTTTGTTTACACCTGATATTAAGTAAATATTTATTCGCTTACTAGTGTATGCACGTTAATGCATATATATATACATTTGCAAATATCTAATTATTTGGTTTATATCCACATTTATATATATATATATATATATATATATATATATATATATATATATAATTGTGTATTTGTGCAGCAATTCTTCTTTATACAAGTTTCTTTTAAAAAGACTGACAAGGTACTGTGGTTTTTATTCAATTTTTGTTGTGTTCTTATAATTTTCTACTTTTCTGGACATAAATTATATAGAAATTGTCCAAATGTTTTGTAATTCTGTGTGCTTTTGGCTATACTTTTTGCCATTATCAAATATGATTTTATTTTTACATTTAACTGAAAATATGGATTGTTTTATGTATGTATCTAGAGTTATAGGAATGTTTTATTTTTCAAACATGGTCAGCACATTGTGACCATGTTCATAGGTGATATTATTGAGCGTTGGCATTTTCTTTTTTATTAATACTGCTTCCATTACTTTTAGCCTTTTTTTTACATGTGGATGAGGCTATTGTATTTGTATTATCAATGAGTATGTAACAGATAGTTTTTAGTAGGTCTGCATTTGTATTTAAATGGGACCTAATTGAGCTATGGCCCGAGACATCTTGATATGTTATAGTATATCCAATATAATTATTTATGAATTTGGATTGATCAGGAACACAGTTCCTAAAGTTTTTAATGAAACTTATATATATATATAAAAGTGAACATAGATATCAACACTTAGAGGCGACAGTCTGTTTCATGTTATATGCAATCATCATATATTTATATATTTCATGCTATATGCAATCATCATATATATATATTTCATGCTATATGCAATCGTATATATATATATATATATATATATATATATATATATTGATAATCACAAGTGAAAAAAATATTTGTTTGACCTGTTTAGTCCTTTTGGACTTAATTGGACTAAAGTGATATTTTCATTGATGTAACTACACCAACACATGGGAGGAAGGGAATACTGAAATTATGATGAAAAATTCCCACCATTTTGATGATTCCAGATGACACTTGTATTTGAAACAAAAGAATATAATATTGATAATTCTCAAATAATTGACTTGATCATTATTAATCTCTTTTTTGTCAACAAATATTAAAATTGTAATTTCTAAAACAAAATGCCTGAAATACCTATTGGTTCAGAAGCTCATAGCAGATCTCAAGTGGAATTTGTATTTATAATCCATTGATAAAGATGCGGGAAAAAATGATCAGTTCCTTGTAACACTCAAGAAAGTATCTGATTCCTTCTGTCATGCTCAACATAAATTCAGTCAGATGAAGTCCTAAAGGATGAAACATGTCACACAAAACTTTTTCCACTTTGTCATATATATATATATATATATATATATATATATATATATATATTTGTAACCCCTGTTTGTTATTGAACTCCTTCTAGGTTTTTGGAGATAGACCTCCATAACCATATATATTCTGAAACTACATTACCCTGGATACTTGGATAAGTATATTTCATTTTGATCAAAGGGAGTCCCCAAGAGATATCCGCACCAATGAAATTTTTTTCCATTTGATTTAAATTAAATTTAAACAAGGAAATGACTCCTATCCAAAATATAGAAGGAGAAAGCTAGAAGATGGAGGTCTCATTGGCAAGATTATTTTGATCAGATGGTCCCACTTCACAAAGCCCCTGATGAAATTATATTTCCCCTTGATTTAAGTTAAATTTAAATTTGAACAAGAGAATGACTCTCAGGGTACTTGGATATTTCATTTTGATCAAAGTGGTCCTTGGTAGGCACAAAACCCCCACTGAAATTTTTTCCCTTTGATTTAGATTAAATTTAAATTTGAACAAAGGAATTACTCCTTTCCAAATATATAGAAGGAGAGAGCTAGAAGATGAAAGTCACATCAACAAGATCAAAATGAGACAATATTGATGTCAAGTTGAGCAAGAAATCACCAATCAATGGGTAGTGCCTTACAATACATATTTGTTGCGACAATTCATCTGTCATATCAATGTTGGAATCTGCTCATCAATTCATTCAATCAAGTATTGCATCAAATACATATCAAAGGGGTCAGATCAAGCTGTTTTTGCATATACCCCCACTGAAAATTTTTTCTCTTTGATTCAAATTAAATTTAAATTTGAACAAAATATAGGAGAAAGCCAGAAGATGGAGGTCACATCAGCAACATCATTGAGTAATATTGAAATGCATCATCTTTTTACACAGATTATAATAATGATTTAAAATCAATCATTATTTTCCTTCCCCAAAAATGTGTGACACACAGCAAAGTACGGGTAATTTGGCTAGTATATATATATATATATATCTTACTTATTATAAAACACAGATTGTGTGTGTGTGTGTCTGTACGTTTATATATTGGATCGGATTTCCTACATTTTTCAATTGATTTCAACAAAACTTCACAGGACTGTGTAAAATTACCTTGTGGTGGTTCTGACAGCAGCAAAAATTGGAAAAACACAATTGTTTTTGCACAAAATCAATTTGAAAACATGATAAAACTATTCCGTCACCAGAATGAAAGGGGGACAACTCATATCGAGTTATATTTATAAAACCCAGGTTGTTTGTGTGTTCGTTTATATATGGGATCGGATTTCCTACATTTTTCAACTGATTTCAACAAAACTTCACTTTTTTTTGGCAGGTAGTGTTTCTTATTGTCTTGCACACTTTTTTCTTTATTTTTACATTCAGAATGCTTTAAAAATTCCATTTACAAGACAATTGTTTATAATAAAATTCTATTCAATCGATAGACTCATAACGATTGAAAACAATGTTTTTGTTTGAGTTTGGGTTTGACCAATTCGTAAAAAAAAAAAAAAAAAACGTCAACCTTAAACAATAATCTTTGTCAATTTTATTTTTCAGTCTTTATGATGGTGGATACTTGATCTATCTCTTACTGTTACATCCCTGGGCAAAGCCGGGCTCTACTGCTAGTATATATATATATATATATATATATATATATATATATATATACACACACACAGACTTATATATATTTTATGATTTATTAGGTATAAATGGTCTTAAAAGTAATGTATTTTAGTCAGTCATGTGAGAAAAGTTCTAGTTACTGATTAATAATTATTTAGATTATCACTTTCATCTTCCATGTTTTAAGAAAATTCATCAGGAAATGAATTTACTAATCTATTTACCTGTATATTTACTTCACTTCTTATTTACTCACTCTATGAACCTCTTGACATTTTTTATTATTTCTCAATGCTGATAAAGTTGCCGGTCAACAGACACATAAAGCAAAAAATCAGTAATAAACCAAAAATAAAAAATCATTACCACACAAATTAACACTGTTTCTTCTTCTCCTTCCTTCATATATACATCATTAGTCCTAACGAGATTTAAAGAAGTATATATCTTGATATATAAGATAATGTTTTAGTTGACTGAATATTGAGAAAGAATTTGGGGTTTGTGATAATAAAAGGTTGGAGGGAGACACATTAAGTGTTATATTGGGTCAATATTGGATCAGGTTGTGGTATTAATATGTGTTGGGAGAGAAACAGTGTGAACAAGATTTTGTGTAATTCAGTTTAGATAGAGGGAGAGTCAAATCAAATACTGAGTGATTCAGACAGCAAAAGATATAATTCTTGTGAATGAAATGGTCTCTCTTTGCATCACAGACTCCTAATAAAAATGTCTTTACATTTGCCAAATATTATTTCAAAAGTGAAACCGAATCGAGCCAACTTAATATGATAAGAACAATACTTATCTTTTATTAATATGTGTGCATTTCTCGGTTGCTTACCAAGTTATTAAGTTAGCAAGTCTTCGGTCGGGTATCGACAAGTAAGGAAAGAAGAATTGAGTGTTTCATTAAAACTGCTTGTCGTGATTCATCATTTCCATTAACTGCTTTTTAGTTCTTCACTTGTAACATTAATCTTTGTATCATTGTTTCTTATCTTGGTTTTTTGTTCTTTTAAATCTTAATTTTTTTTTTTTTTTGACATTCTTGGTCTTCCATACATTCACTTTTTTATCTCTCTACTTTTCTCTGAATTTGTAACTATTTTTCCTTCCTTATTTTTAATTTTTTTTCTTCCTCATTTATATTTACTTTTTCATTTTTATTTTAATTCCTTTTTCTTTCTTATTTATAATTCTTTTTCCTCCCTAATTTTAATTCTTTTTTTCTTATTTTTCTTTTTCTTCTTTATTTTTAATTCTTTTTAATTCTTTATTTTTAATTCTTTTTTCTTCTTTATTTTCCCTCTTCTTATTTTTGTTAAAAAGCTTTTCTCTTATTTAAAAAACTTTCAAGATCCTGTTTTCTTTTTTATTTCTCTGTGTTTTTATCTTTCGTTTTTTTCCTTCAGCATTTCCCTTCTCTTTTCTATTTCTCTTCCTTTCCTTGTTTCCCCCCCCCCATACACACTTTCTTTTCTTTACCTTTTCTCTCTTCTTTTCTCTTTTCCTCATCGTTTCCCTTTCTTGTATTTCTTTCTTTCCATTTCCTTCCTTACTTTCTTTTCTTTTCTTCACTTTTCTCTTTCTTTTCATTATTTCCTCTCTCTTCCTTTCAATTCCTTTTTTTCTTCATCATTCCTCTTCTTGTTTCTTTCTTTCCTTTTTTTCACTTCCTGTAATGTTTGCATTTTCTTTATTTTCTTTGACTTTCTTTCTTTCTTTTTCTTTCTTTTCTTCTACATCCTTTATTTTTCTTTTCTTTCCTAATCTTTTTTTCATTTCTTTTCCCCGCCTTTCCTTGCTTTCCTTCTTTTTTTTTTTGTTCCTTTCTTTTGATCCTCTTCATTTTCCTTTTCTTTCTAGAGCCTTTTCTTTTTCTATCTTTTTTTCTTTTCATTGTACCACCTTTCTCCTTCTTTCAATTCTTTTGCTGGACTTTCTTTTTTTCTTTCTTTATTTCTTTTTCTCCTTATCTTTCTCTTTATAATCTCTTCTCTTGTTATTTCTATTTTCTCAATTTCTTTTTATCTTTTTAGTCTATTTCCAAATTTCTTTTCTTTTTCTTTTTCTTCTCACCCTTTTTGTATTTTTTCATCTTTTTTCCTTTTATTCTTTTAATTTCCTCCCCTTTATCATCTTCCTCATCCCCTTTCTTTCTTTCTTAATTTTCTATTTATTCATTATTTCATCCCTTTCTTTATCTCTTCATTTTTACCATTTTCTCACTCTTTGTTGCATATCCCCTTTCTTTTTCTATTTTTACAAATGCTTCTCCCTATTTTATTTGTCTTTATATTGTATCATTTCTCTTTCTCTTACATTTACCACTTGCTTTCTTTAACTTTCTCTTCTCTTCTCTTTCTTCCTTCCTTCAAATACTATCTCATTCTTTCTTTGTTCTTCTCTTTCTCCCTTCTTTCAAATACCATCACATTCTTTCATCCTTATTTGTTTCTTCCTTCCTCCTTTCAAATACCATCTATTTCTTTCTTTTTTTTTCTCTTTCCACTTTCATTCAAATACTATTTCTTTTCATCTCTTTCTTTCTTCCTTCAAATATCATGCTTTTCTTTCCCTTCTTTTTCTTCTCTTTTTTCCTTTCCTGCTTTCTCCCTTTTTACTTCTAGTACCTTTTTACCTTTCATAACTTTTCTTATCAGTTTCTCCTCATTTTTCTTTTTACTTCTATTTCTCTATCCTTACATACAATTTTCTCTTTGTCTATTTACTTGCTTATTTATTTACTTACCTTTCAATCTCACTTTATTATTTTTTACAAGAATTTGAAACAACCTTGGCAGAGAATTTGTCAAAGTGTGAGTAAGCAAACAACGCTAACCATAACATGTTCATAGAAAAGAGATTAAATGTAAACCCTAATGATTGGATCCAGTTTGTCCATTTGAAGGTTGTTCATCCAAGGGAGATAATTCATGCAAACAAGCTACCAACCAATCAGCACAGACTTATCAATTCTGACATATCCTATGGACTTGAGGTCATATTGATATACAATCTGAGCAAGGAGGGTTAACTCATGCAAAACCATTCATTTACAAACACCATAACCAATTGATGAGATAAATAAACATATAGATAGAAATGAATATACTGAGATAGATCAACAGAAAGATGAACAGATATGAACAGACTGGGATAGATAGATAGATATATATATTTAGTATATCTGTAGCTTTATCTGGTACATAATTATAACCAACATTTTCATTTATATTTCCCCCTATATATATATATATATTCCTATCAATAAGGAGTTTATTTTAGTTTGATGAAATCCTCTTAAAGGAAGAAACATGCTACATAGAATTTTTTTTCCATTTTGTAAATCAATTCCCCAACATGGATAGAGATATTCGAGATAGATAGATAAGTTTGTCAGTGAGACTAACAACTTTGTTGCCACTGTCAAGGCAGGCAAGGTAATTGTGGGAGAGTGGTTTGTCCTATTACTCACTCATCCATTAACCATCAACTATAAGTGTGTATCAGTGATAAAATTATTTTATCCAGGTACCTAGTGGCGAGACATATCACAGAAATTAGAGGATACTTTGTAATCATTTCACCCCATGCAAGGCAGTAAAGTCACTAAGAGACAAGAGGTTACTTGGTGTGGAAGAATTAGGAAGAGAAACATTACTAATGAGCAGGACGAGAAAAGAGTAATCAAGAGGACAGTAGATAGTGATTGACATTGCATTTAAATTTTTGAAGACTAAAGTTGGCTGAAATGTATAGAGTTCTAAAAGTGAGAAGTGTGAGAAAAGAAGCTGTTAGCATAGAATTTACGATTACATCTAGCAAGCTCAACTGTATATTGATGAGATCTCAATGCCAGTCTAATACTGTACTTAATTTCATAAATTCTAGGTACAATAGAGAAGAGCTCATCTGAATAATTACCAGGAAAGTATTTAATGAAAAGGCACAGAGAGGCAACCTTATGGTGGTGGGAAAGTGACTGAAGCTGAGCCACCAGATCAGGATTGATAATATTGCTGATTCTTCTTTGAATTGTATCAAAGAGCTCATGATTTATGGCTTTTCCAAAAGTATGGTCAGGCAAAGAATCAGAACTTCTGTTTATACATTATTTTTATAGATACAATTTATTTAAGTAAATGCTCTGCTTTTAATTAAACAATATTAATTACATTCACTGGCCTGAATGTTCAAGAAATTACATATTAAATATGAATTCTCTGACAGGAATTGAACCTGTATGGAAACCGTCATTTGACCTGACGTGCTGTACCATTGAACTTCAGAGAAGCATCTGTTTACCAAAGTCTGAATTAACTTTGATAAAAACACAACATTCGAACAATTTTCTCAATTGGTCATTCCTGTGCATAAAATATATCTTAATGTAAGCAATGACAACATATTATGAAATGGATTTGTTAATCAACGTGAAGTTGTTCCCATTGTACCTTCTCCATGAGTGAGGTACGATTGAGGCAAAAACACAGGGGTAGGGGCAGTTGGTTACCACCACATGGTGTTGGAAGGTCACTAAATAAATTCTTTCTCCACACACAAGTCTTGTTGGAGTCATTTATTTAATTCACAGGATTAATTCCAGCAATTATTTAATATATTTTCTGTATATATGTTATTTTTATAGATACAATTTATTTAAGTAAATGCTCTGTTTTTAATTAAACAAAATTAATTACATTTACCAGCTTGAATGTTCAAGAAATTTCATAGAAAATATGCGTTATCCAACAGAAATTGAACCTGTATTCCTATACAGAAACTGTCATTTGACTTGATGTGCTCACCATTTAGCTACATAGAAGCATCTGGTTACTATTTATAAACATACAATTCTTGATTGATCATTTCTGATCCACTGTATCTTAACATATCTTAACAGATATATATATATATATATAAATATATATATATATAAATATATAAATATATATATATATATATATATAAATATATATATATATATATATATATATAAATATATATATATATATATAAATGTATATTTTAGAATAAAAATTCCAAGAGGAAGAATCCAGGTAGAACTCAATGTCTAGGATAGTGTAAAGATATAATAAAAGACTTGAACACTAATATTCCATGGTCATAATTTATTCCATTGGAATCGTAAATATGATCCAATTCATCAGACCTACAAATTCAAAAAGAAAACAGAAAAAAACAACGCCGGAAATAAAAACAGAATCTAGAGAGTGTAAGTATGAGGAGGAAGAAATGGAATATTAGTGTTTAAGCCTTTTTTTATATATATATATATATATATATATATATATATATATATATATATATAACAGATGTATATATAAGGGTTGTTGAAAGTTTTTGATCAAAACAAAACCTTCTTCCCACCAAAATTAAGATGTTCAGTCATTTGGTCAAATTTTGGCTGAACACATCATCATCATCATCATCATCATCATCATCATCTCAAACTCCACCCAGAGATATTAAACGACTTTTTTTCTGTCAGTATCACAACTTGTGCATATAGTTTCTATCTGTTGACACTAAGTTTTTTGATCTTTCTGTCTGGACCTTCAAATTTTCTGTTGAAAAATCGGTCCTCATCTATTTTGCTGCCCATTTCATTTTTATTATGGATCTCTTTTAAAGTGAAACCAGCTGATCAGTCATGAATGTTTTGCCCTTTGATTTAGAAGATGAAATCTTGGGCTTTTTAACATCTTCTTGCTGCTACAATAACTAAACATTTCATACCTTGTAAGAGATAGATTTATTTTATAAATTTGATTTGGGATACAGATTGTTGAAATAAAGCTCTCAATTTGCCCTCACCAGTGGAGTCATCTAGAATCTTCAATAAACATCTAGTGAGTTTGGTGCAATTGCTAGAGATGCTTTACCTTTTAAAGGTTCAGAGGTTATTAAATATTTAATCTAATCAGCCATACAATTCATTTTAAAACATCAATCTTTCTACTTGGCTATTAATTTGAGATTTTGAAATTTCAGAAAAACGACAAGTTTTTTTCATATCTGGACAGAATAAACCAGATTTAATCCTAATCGCACAGATAGATGTTGCCATAACCCAGCAAATAAATCTTTACAATAAGTATTTATTTTATATATCATTAAAGCAAATGGTTAATAATACACAGTGTATATGAAACAGTCATTGTGAAAGTAATACTTCTTATTTTATTAGATTGTCCTAGAGAACTAAATATTAGTAATGTGGTAGTAGAGGTTAAATCTTCCCACCAGTGACCTATTTTTTAATTATTACATACAGTAACTGGCAAAAGGATGTCTGACATGAAAGTAACTATGAAGCATACTTGTATCACAAAATTCTTCCATGTGGAAAAATTGTAACTATTGACATTCATCAATGATTTTTTAATATTTACAGATACCAAACAGTGAATGTAAGCACAGTTAGGAAGTGAGTAATGTGCTTCAGTGACCATGATGTATGTAACAACCTATGATCCAACAAAAAAATGAAAAGAACTGGCAAAACCGTGTCTGACATGAAAGTACATATGAAACAGAGGTGTATCACTGGATTCTTCCATAAGTAAAAATTGCAACTATTGACATTCATCAGGTGGGTAATGTGCTTCAGTGACCATGATGTTTGTAACAAACATAGCTAAAGACTACAAAATGAAAAGAGCTTTGATCAGCTCATTCATACAAATTGACAGATTATGACCAGGAATTATAATTATGTATAAAATTAAAAGTCAGCTTCAATGTTGACAGTGTTTGGAAATTGTAAAATTTATTTCAGATGAGTTTCCCAGATGTTTCTACAAGAATCGAGAAAACAACAAATGCTGAAATCTGTCAGGACCTGCCTAAACATTATGAATCTGGAAGTGACAGTTTCCTGAACTGTTGCATATCATGATCATCAGTGATAACTGTATAATTATTTTGTTAAACTCATAGAGGAACTTGCTGAAATTATGTGTC